TAAAAACATTGCAAGTAAGAATAGGAGATTCACATTGAAAAATGTAGCCAAAGGCTGAACAAAAAGTTCAATACACAAGAGATGTTCTTGCACCTTTAAAAAATGTAAATTAATAAGAAAAATATGAAAAATGATGTCCCCTAATTACTCAAATACGTAAGAAATTCCCGATTAAGAAATCCCCCAAGGGTCGAAGACATATATTGACACAAATGCGCATTTACCATACATGCAAGTACATATAACCCACAATTCATTTTTTGTAAACTCACCTCAGCATTAGGTGCATACTCATCTGTACCTGACCACTGGCTTCGGACTGTATATTTTGAGCAGATTATGCGCGCAGATGTCAGAACAGTGCCCTCTTTAGTCCCCTCATCCCAATCAATTAAAAAGCCAGATGATTGTGCCATCAGTTTACCGTCTGTAGAGTGAATCGTAGATTAGATAAAAGACAAAGGATAGAGGAATTGTTGGAGGCACTGAATGAAGGCAATGTGTCACATACCAATAAAGGATGAAAAGCGAAGAATAACTTTAGCCACTTGGAGAACTGTTTTTGTTGCAGACTCACGAACACGCTGCAAGTCCGCATTTACCATACACGAATAAGGCATAGACGGATCAAGTGTTACGAGCTCCTGTTGGCGCTCTGCACGTTAACATGCAAAAAATTGGTGAATTGGTCCATTGTGTTCAAATAGATATTATCTTAAGCAAAATTGACATGTTTCATTTATAATTGGCTATTGTTTTTGATAGAGGTGCATATCTATAGTTCTATACTAGTAATCGGATGGAATGAAAGCAGAGTGTTAGAGCCACGAGATAAACCTTGCTGTCCTAGCACCAAAGTAGTTCTTACAACATTTAATATAACTCACTACCACATTCTCTCTCAATATATCAAATGTTCAAATACCATATCTAGTCTAGCAGCATTCAACCTTACCGAGGTGTTGTGTACCACACCGGTACACACACACACACACAAGAGGGCAAGGAAGTCTGCCAAACTTACTTAATTTCGCAAGGTACTTGGATTCCAACTCCTCATAAGCTTCAATGGCAGCCACAACCTCAGGGCCCTCGTCATGTGTAAATTCTCGGAGGCAGGCAGGGGAATGAGGCCGACGCAGGGGAGAGCTGACCGTAGAGGACGAGGAGGAAGAGGCGTCCAATGCGCTCGGTGAAGCCGAAGCCGCCTGCTCACCCTTGCTCGTGGTGGCTTTCTTCTCGTCGTCGCTCTTGTGGGTTCTCTTCCGCCTCTCGCTCTCGGACGGCTCCAAGGCTTCACTCTTGCCTGGTTGAGATGCTGCGGGCGACGAATCCGCGGAGGTTTTCTTCCTCTTGCCTCGCTGCGATGGCGGTGCGGCTTCCGGTTGGGCCTCCATGGATCCCGACACCTCTTCCCGCGTGGTTGGCGCCATGACCGAGCTTCTTAGGGTTTGGTTGGCTAGGCCGGCCAAAAGAGCGCCTCCGTCTCGGTGATGGACTCGCCAAGGGAGGCGGGGGCGCATCGTCGGCACCATGGGCATGCTTCTTGGGGTTTGGTTGGCTTCCATCTCAGTGATCGATTCGGCAAGGGAGCCGGGGCTGCAAGGAGAGGACAGGCGACATGTACTGAACATTATCCACTTGTTGTACTGAACATATATAGCATCAAAATGCAATGGGGATATATAGCAGCAGAACATGCGCTTGTTGTTGTCATTATCAACTTGTTGTTGTCAACCAACTTGTAGCAATAGCAATATTCATGAGCGTGTACTGAACATGTAGCAGCAGAAAATGTACAGAACACCTGCATGTTTTTTCTGCCCCCTTCCTATAATCTACAGGCAGCAAATCGTCATAGAACATCACCTACAGATAATCACCATTCACCCAAAGACATCACCAAATCCGACAACAAACCACCATACACATCGCAAATCCACCATGAGCATGCACAGGGAGAGATGGTCGGGCAGCGAATCGGGCATTCACCTTCCAAAATTCGGAAGAGGTGGTCGGGGAGGCAGAGAATCGACGCAGCCTGCGTGCTTCGGTGGTCGAATCGCGGCGGAGGAGCTCGATTCGCGGCAGGGAAGGCGGTCGCTGACGGCGGAGGACGAGGGCGAGCGGGGCGGGGAAGGGCGGGTCACGGCATGGACTAGCGGCAGCGGAGGGCGCGGCCGCCGGCGGTCAAGTGCTGTGCGCCATCGGCTGCTGCGTGCGGCTAGGGCTGGAGAAGGGGAAAGAGGAGTCGCGGGTGTGGGAGGGAAGGCCTGATGCGGGTCGATCGATCACTTGGCGGTGGCGCAGGCCCGTAATCTCTCCCTAATTTTTTTTAATCTCTACCTAATAATAAAGCATGGATTGGGTCTCCGGGTTCACGTTACAATACGTTTCTTATCGTGATTTTACGCTTTCAGTTTTTATATTTCTTTGAAAAAAACTTATTTTGTATCGTGCTTATCCGAGGTGGTACTAAAAAAAGTTGTCCGTCCCTAGGACAATTGGCTCGTACCCGTCCTGCGGTGCCGGCCCAAAACAAATTGCCAGTGGGCCGGATCGACCTTCCTAACCCGGACGGACATTTCATAGAGAACCGCTGCTTCTTTAATAATCCCACCTCGTCCCCTTACCTCATGATGAACCAGTTTATATACATCATCATTGATTTTAAATTTCGTCACATGCCTACGACCTGTATGTGGAGGTATTGTGCCAGCCAACATGATATATCTTCTGTGCTGGAGGCAGCGCTGATTTGGTCTCACTGCTCCATGGCCTGGGTTTGTCATTGCCTCCTCCACGTAGCTCTCCCAGTAAACAGTGAACATAGCTTGGTGTGGCTTAGTTCTTATAATTAAGCTATGTCAACATGGTTTCAATAGCCAGATCCACGTGAGTTGTGAAACCAAAGGCTGATGAAAGGATGCTTGGTGGGGATGGCATGCTTTATTCGTTCTGCAGAATTCTCATGCATCTTCTGGACTTTCTACTTATTCCTTCTTTCTCTAAAACTGGCATGTCAATGTGCTGTGAATAGTTGATCCCATCTTTTTTTTTTTTGCGGGGAAAAGTTGATCCCATCTATGATGATACTACAAACCTTAAATATGAAGATTTCTTTAATAGATGTGCCCAGCTACAGTGAAGATCTTGATTCACTAAAAAAAATAACTAATAAGAGTTTGTGTTCCGTCGTTTTATATGTGTTTGCTACGGACAATTGTGCTAACTATGCAAATCGACACTAGATTCATTGTTTTATTTTCCTCACCCTGCATTCATATACCTATGCTTCAGATTATTGTATTCCCTTCTGTTTTATAGGTTTTTGGACATGTTTCAACATTGCTCTACAAGTAATCACACTGCAGTCAGCAGGTAAGGCAAATCACTTGACAAAATTCGCATATATCTCGAGTAACTACAGAAACAGGTGTGACAATGTATGTGTGCTCATGAACCACCAAAGCTTATTTTGCAGACCCACTAGCAGTTTAGTCAAATTATTATCCCTTTTATTATTAACTTGATCTTCGCAATTTTTATTGATATATTATATGTTTTCACATTTTATTTTAAATTTCATTCATTGTACATTTTTTTCCGAAATTGCAGCTAGGTGTTTCTGCGCCACAGCAGGTCCCCTCTAACATATTTTTTACGTCCATTTTACTGAATATGTAAGTGTACTGAAAGATTAACATGGATTACTCTTCTTTCAAGGCTGAATTTTATGTAAATTAGTTTATGTAAATTAATAATCGTCATTGCCTATTGCTGCACAGGCTGAATTTTTATTTAGGAGGTAGTTTGTAATTTTTATGTATTACCTTGGATTTGCATTGTTAAAAATTGCCCTTTTAATTTTTTTCACTAAATGGGCGATTGCCTTTTTGTGAAGACCTTTGTGTGGATATTTTAGTTTATGATAACCTGTCAATTCATTAGAGAACTTTCGTCACTTTCTGCTGGTATAATTCTTCAATTCCATTTGGACTTCTAAAGATCAGGAGGTGGTGTAGGTGATGATCAACAGGAGGTGCTGTAAGCGATGATCATCAGGATGTTGGTGTGCCATAGTTGTCTTTTTAGCCCGGTTCACCTTAATAATTGTCCATGCTACATCTCATGGGCAAGCCCCACCGTCGAGAAAAGTATTGGCCGCGAGCGGGATCAAACCTGGGACCTTCCATCCTATCCTATGTAGATGGAAATTAATAGTCCCACCCTGCTTTTTTACATTAAATCCTATACGTTCACGAGTTAAAGATCAACAAGTCAACAAGGAAGATGAAATATGGTTTTAAGACCTTGAGATTAAAAACATTGCACTTCTCAGCAAGTGGGTTTACAAACTACTCACTGAGAATGGAGTATGGCAGAAAATCATTCGCAACAAGTATGTGGGATCCAATGCAATTTCTCAAGTTCATTGGAAACCTGGGGATTCGCATTTCTGGAGTGGTGTGATGAAGGCCAAGGAATTCTTTTTCCAATTTGGGACCTTCTCAGTTAGGGACCAATCTGGGAAGATACCTGGCTAGGGAATAACCCACTAATGGTGCAATATCCGAGCTTGTATAGGATTGTTAGACATAAATTCGTCACAATCAAACAAGTTTTAGGACAAGAAAATCCTGATATTTCTTTCCGTAGGGACCTTTTTGGCCCTCGTCCGACAGCATGGAATGAATTACTCACTCGCTTGGAGGACATTCAACTGTCAGGTGAGCCGGACATTTTTCAATGGAACTTGTATCAGAATGGCAAATTTCAGTCAAATCCATGTATGATGCAATGGTTCATTGTGATGTTCCAGTTGATAACAAGAATTTGTGGAAGCTCAAAATCTCTCTAAGAGTGAAGATTTTCCTCTGGTTTCTTAACAGAGGAGTCATCCTAACTAGAGACAATCTGGCACGACGAAACTGGCATGGTTCCAAGACATGTGTCTTTTGCCAACATGACGAGTCTATTAAACACTTATTTTTTGAGTGCAAGTTCGCTCGGGCAGTTTGGGTCATAGTTCAAGTAGCTTCGAATCTATACCCACCACGTAGTGCACGGAACATGTTCGGCAACTGGTTGCGGGGTATTGATAAACAATTTTCTGCACATATTCTCGTGGGAGCGGCGGCCTTATGCTGGGCACTGTGGCTTACCAGGAATGATGTGATTTTTAATAACAAATGTGTCTCATCTCCTATGCATGTTATTCATGTGTGTACATGATGGCTCCGTACTTGGTCTATCCTGCAGAGGCCGGAGGACAGAGACCTTTTTATGATGGCGTCTACACGGCTGGAGCGTACGGCCAGGGAGGTTTTCTACCCCCATGGATGGCGGTGTGACCTACGGATAGGATCGACCACTCCTTAGCCTGGACATGTTTTTTTGATTGGCGTTGTATCGAATTATTTTTTGCTTTTAGGGTACTCTGGACTTTTTTGGTTGTGTGCATCTAGCTATGCAGAGGCCGGGCTTTCTTTCGATGCGATTGTATCACCTCGATATATCTATTCAATAAAATGTCCTTTATCGAAAAATGAAATATGGTTCATGTTTAACCAGACAGATGAAGAAAGTGTATGCCATGGCTCGCAAAAAAGAAGATATGAAGATACCAAAAAAATTGGAGCAAAGAGGAGAGGTGATCTGAAGATACATAAGAAAGTGTCTACCATGGCTCACAAAAAAGAAGATCTGAAGATACAAAAAAAAAATAGAGCAAGGAGGAGAACCAATCTGAAGATACAGAAAAAAAATGGCCATTTGAGTCTCCCGGCCCCCATGCGCCGTCGCCGCCACACCCGGCCCAGGAGGAGGGCACGCGCGTGAATCAGGGAGGAAGCAAGAGGCGTCCCGCCCGCGTCAACTGGTGGCGCGCGTGGAAGCGGCCGGGGTGGAACTGGTCGGGAGGGTGGCGCGCGAGGGAGAGCATGACGGCCGGGGGTTCGAGCGGGTCGGCAGGGTGGCGCGCAAGGGCACGGTGCTACTCTCCCCTGGCGGCGTTGCGTGAGGGAGATGAGGGGAGTGGGAATCAAGGGTGTGAGGGGGCTACGAAATCATTCCTGTGAGCTTACGCACCCGGGTACTGCTATCCTGGACGTGCATATTCTTTGGGATGTGCGCCACATGGAACAGAAAACACTAGGGGTCATGTTTGCTGGCAGAGGATTACAGACGTACATGGCCGTGATCGGTCTAGTTGGGCTAGGAGCACAAAAGGACAGATGCATGTGGGCTTGGAAGCAGGCATCTCCAGAAAAAAGACAGAGGAGTCATCCGCAGTCGTCCCGTGACAAATTCTCCTCCGTGCTCCTGTGGAGCTAGGTCGGCGGCGGGGGTAGCGGATGAAGTTTGAGAACGAGAGAAGAAACGAGATCTGAGGGGCAGCTTCACTTCCTGGAGAGGGAGCAGGGGAATCATTGGCCCGTCCGGGTGTGCGGAAGCAGATTTGGACGCGCATCGCGGCGAGCCATCTCCGGCGCCATCAGCCGTTGCCAGGGAGGAGGTAATTACGAGTCCCAATTTTCTTTGGCAAAGCCACTTATGCAGATGGGAG